AGAGTGAACTCCAGGGCTACCAACACCTGAATCTGCAGTGCCATTTTACGCCCGTGTGCTTCAGAAGCATGGGACTCTGCCCCACCACTGCACATGGACACAGCTCATCACTTTCAACATTCCTGAGAGTCATTACAAATAGGATTTTATTTTCTTTCCTTTAAAACTCTCACTTTCACATAGTTCCAAACCTCCAATGAATGATTAACCACCTGGGCTGCACCAAACAGTGAATTCTTAACTTTCCCAAGTCAGCCACAGCACACAGCTCCATGCAAAACTGTTCCCAAAGTATTCTTGGGTTTCTAATACTTCTTTAAAAACAACAGACAGGATGTCAGGGCAAAGTTCAATAAGTAGCTGTACATTTTATGATCTGAAATGAAAAGCCTAATTAGGTAGCTATAAACTAGATGGTTCAAAGGAAATCTGGATCCATACATGGGTTGCAACTTTTGAAATCATAGACTCTCTAAGGGGAAAATAAATTTAAAAAGCACCCCTTTCCCATTTGTCAAGACAAACAGGCCTCCAATGAAGGTAGCGATCTACGTAAACTTAACCTCCTCTTTTGGCTCATGTCGAAGTGCAAATCAAAAGGGAGGGATGCAGGAGGCAGGGTTTGAGGCAGGGTGGATCCACCTGTTACACAGGGTTTGAGGGCTTACTTACCCTCTCACACACAAGGCGACTATAACACCTCCAGGGCTTGCCGAACCAACACAACAGAGGAAATAACACCTGATGTGTGAGACTTACCGACTTTTCTCCAGCTGCAGAGCAAAGCATGCTGCAGTCCGGGGAGATGGAGCAGCAGTAAACCCACTGCAGATGGCCCGACAACACCTGAATCTGTTTACCTGGCAGACAAAGGGGCAGACAGTGAGCTGTCTCAAACCACAAAGCAGGAAGACTGAGGGTAGTGATGGGCCACCCACCCAGTTCTCTAGCAACTGAGTGCCACCGCCCACTTTTTAATGCAGAGAAAGCAATATGACAAAACCTGCCATTTAAATGCCTGAAATCTATTAATATGATATTCTAACACCCAAGGGAAATCACTGCCCACTGTTTCACCAAACTCCACAGGATCATCAGGACAAACGGTGTAGACAGATCAGGTTCGATAGATCCCTTTGATAGCAAAGAACATTCTTCTCCAGTCCCCCAACCACCTCAATTATACTTAGAAGCATCCTTCCGAATTTGAGAGTGTGTATCTTCACTTCTCTCTGTAATGGTTTCCCCCTCGCCACAAGGTTCTCACTCCGCACCCTCCCCCTCGCTCCCTCCCCCCACCCCAGGTGTCTGGATGAGCAATGGTGCAGTTACAGGGCCACGTGTTCTGGAGTCAGGCGAACTTGGGCTTGAACGCTGGCTCCGCTGTTCACTTAGCACACAATCCTAAATCACTCACCAACCTCTCCAGGTTTCAGTTTTTGAAAAAAACAAAATGCCCATCCATAGGGAAATGAGTGAATAGAGAGTGTAACAGGTGGATCCACCCTGTTAATTCATATTAAATTAAGAATCTAGATTTCCCATGGAGTATCTTTAATGAAAAAACAAGATTCAGGAAAAAAATATAAAGACTATGATTCCATTCTTGTGAAACATAATGACTCCAAAACCCATAAATGTAAGAGTGTGATTGCCCGAATAGGGTCATACAAGTGTAAGCAAAATATGGAAAGAAATATGGAAGACTCTTAGCATGGGCTACACAAGATTACAGGGGGATTATGGAGGAATTCAACCGAAGGGAGAATTAGAAAGATGGCAAGGCTGGCGTGGGCGGGAATCAAGCTAAAATAAAAGGGAAAAAACTTTAAAAATATTTTTGTTTTGCTAATCCTCACTTGAGGAGATTTTTTCCATTGCTTTTCAGAGTGGAAGGGAAAGATGGGGGGGAAGAGAGAAACATTGATGTGAGAGAGTCACATGAACTGGTTGCCTCTCACATGTGCCCCGACCCCCAACTGGGGGCAGAGAGCAAACCCACACCCAAGTATGTGACCTTGACCAGGAATCAAACCTAAGACCCTCCAGTACTTGGGCCGACGCTCTAACCACTGAAAAACCCCAACCAGGGCAGAAAAAAAAAAAAAAAAAAATATATATATATATATATATATATATATATATATATATAAAATAAAATATATATATGCTATTTTATTCTTTAAAATATATATTTTTTATTTTAAGAATATATATGGTCATTTATAAATTTATGGGTATGTGTGGATAAATATAAATTTTTAAGAGTCAGTCATGGTTTCTCCAGCTATCAAACAAGAACAGTACACCTGCCCTGAGGTCGTCATGAGTGTTAAATAAATTAAGGCACGTCAGGTAGGGCAGGGCCCAATACCTGGGAACACTGCCTTATTCCCCTCCTGTTTGAAAAGCCCTAATAATTGCTCTAGTGATTCTGCCCACTCTGTCACCCGCAGCTTCCCAACCACCAAGTGATTTTCAAAGCCACTTCCAGAACCTGCCTTCAATGGTGGCACTGCCTCTGAATAACCCTCCCGGTCAGCAGGCCTAGCTTGGATGGTATGACTACGAGCCCCGCAGTAACGGGAGGAACTGGACAGAGGTCTCTTAGTGACGAGGGGCCCTCAGGTGAGGAAACTACACACACCTCCGCCTCAGCTGTTTTGACAAATTACTGGACTTGTTTCTAAGAGGGAAACAGACAGGGCCTCTGTCACGGTTTAGAGAACAGCCATGGCTCAGGCAAGAGTGCGGTGCCTTTGCATCATCAGGGATGAGTGTGTCTCTTCATGAACTGCCCGCATCACCATTTCCTCTTCCCACCTCCCTCCAGCCTCCGCGTGCCCACCCAGGTGGGGGAGGAATGACCTGTTAATGAATTCCCCTTCCCCGTGTCACCTTCCAGTTCGAGGATCAACACCAGAGACGTGCGGAATTCTTCACTGGGCTGCTCCTCTATAATTCTGTTCAAGGCAGAATTGCATAAAAGCTGACCCCCTCGAGCCTGAGACAATTCTTCTAGACCTCGATTCTACTTCACAAAGAAACTTTACTTCTAACAGGAAGTGCCCAGGGAGGATGACTTCCTCTAGATCAGCGGTTCTCAACTGGGGAGACTATGCCTTCCACGTGGACACTGGCAATGTCTGCACACATGTGGTTGTCACGACTGTAGAGGGTGCTGCTGGCATCTACAGGGTAGAGCCCATAACAAAGAATTATGCAGCCCAAAATGTCAGTGATGCCATGGTGGGAAAGGTATTCCCCATCACCGTATTTTCAATAAAGGTGAGATCAACAGTGGCAAAAACTGGTTCTATTGGTTTAAAAAAATCTCAGTTTTTTCCTTACAGTGTATAAATATGTATTCAATCAACAGACAGATATACAGAATTAAAATCTTCAAGGGATGAGGGGGAGTGATTAAGAAAAAATTGTCGGAAAAGGCTCCTGAAGAAACAAGAATAGAAAAAAAGATGGAGAAACACTACTCTGGGTAAAAATGACACAGGTCAAGTAGGGAAAGGAGCAAACATAGTATTTTAGGAGTCCCGGGAGTTCATCACCTCCATACCATGTTTATTCAGGTCCCAGATGCGCAGAGTCTTGTCCCGAGACGCAGAGACCAAAATCAAACTGCCGCTGGGTGTGAAGCTCAGATCTCTCACAACATCTTGGTGGCCGGAAAGATTCAAAAGCAGGAGCCCTAGCGGGGCAGCAGGAGCATTCGGTCAGTGGGAGAGATGGCACCTGGTCTGCCCGTCACAGCTGCACCCCTCAGCCGACTGGGGGGCTGGGGCCCTTCAAGCCCCCGCTGAGGACATGCACACGAGCCTCCAGGACCTTGTGCCAGCCAGAAACGACCTACCTGTCTGCACCTCCCAGATCTTGATCTGCCCATCGTTGAGCCCCGTCGCGAGGATCAGGCAGGAGGCGTCTGGCCCTGGGGGATGGTGGCGTGCCCAGAGCTTCCTGCTGGGCGGAGAAGGCCACGGGCTGAAGGCCAAACCCCACACAATCTGCCCACAGTCCAGAGTCTTCTCCTTCGGGCTGCCTCGCCCTTTTGTATCATTTTTGCTGCTTCGGCTTTTGGCTTCAAACCCTTTAGGGATGCTGGGGAGGTAGAGAGTTCTTAATGAGTACGAAACTGTCACCAAGTGAACCCACTTTTCATCCTGGGTATCTAAGACTTGAAAGTCCTGGCAACAAGCTGGGCTTCGGTGAATTCTGGTGTGACTTTTCGTTTTCGAATTCGTGTAACAGAGGCTTCCCTGGCCTTGGCTCATCCCATCTGGGACAGCCCTGCAATGGGGGCCTGCCTGTGGGAGCGAGTCCTCTGGGGGTGGTGTGGGAAAGGAAAGGCGCACTCAGCGTTTCCCACGGGAAAGCAAGCGCGCGGCAGGTCTGGAGCTAGGACAGAACTGAGCCTCGCTAGCCATCCGCAGCTCTCCTGCCTGAGGAGCCTCCCATCTCTAGCTTAGAAAACTACCAAGCAGCAGGGAAATATACCCTTTTCCTGCCCCCACTTGGCTTGGTACACACTGATTTCTGCCTTCACTCGCTATGTTCCAACCAATTAATAAGGCTCTTTCATTTACTTCCAACCAGCAGGATAGTCCACAGAGAGAAAGAACCCACAGAACCACTCAGGGGTGCACTGAGCAACTGGAGCCTCTTCCTTTAACTTTCTACTTTAACACTCGGTCCCTAACTACTGGGCCCTCCACCACTCGCCTGGCAGCCAGTATCTCAAAGGCATGAGCAGTTAGACAGCCGGAGGTTCAGCCAGAACACCTGATGTTTCCTGCTGGTGATGCACTTGATCAGTGTGAGCATGAGGTCCTACTTTCCTACATGACCTTGACCGCACCCTGGGGCATATCAAACTAGGGGAAATGGAGATGACAAAGCTGGAGCTGAGTTCCATGAGAAATCCTAGACCACACAGATGTAGCGGGACCTTTTTAGGTACTACATTTGTCCCCAAAAGGAAGGAAATCACATGTTTGTCAGTTGTGTGGTTGAAACAGACTAAAAACATTTAACCAAGCTCACCTATAAAGCTAGGAGGGATGGAAGCAATGTAGCCTCCTTTGGCTCTAAAGCTCTATTAATCTAAATCAGAGGTCGGCAAGCTCTGCCTAGGCCAGCAGCCTGATTTTATAAATAAAGTTTTAATGGAATACCACCACGCTCATGTGCTCCCCTGTTTTCTATGGGTGCTTTGATGCTGTAACGGCCTAGCTGAGTGCCGCTGACAGACACATGGCCTACAAAACCGAAAATATTTACTATTTGGGCCTTTACAGAAAAAAATTGCTGACCCCTGGTCTAAATGGCCCAATATAGTCTGAGATTTTGTTATTCTGACAAAACATGTGGATGTGATAATGAGTATCTTTTTGATTGGGCCTGCCCAACCCACACATGGCCCCACACACATCGCAGACCTGCCTGGCCCTGGCACAGGAGCCTGAGTTTGCCATCCAGGGAAAAAGCACGTAAAAGGCAGGCTATGGAAAAACTTCACAGAACGGCGTGACCCTCCAAAGTTATATTTGTTTTATTTTTTATAAAATCCTAATTTCTGTATTTGAATTAAGGGATACTTTTATAGCTACTTTATTCCAAAGAAATTAAGGCACATTAATATGTTAAATCATTTTAATATCATATATTTAATTTCTCTAGAAAGATACTAAAATCTCCACCTTAGGGGTAGAGTTGACTTTCCTGTGGTCCCCAAATCAGGGGCAGATCTGGAACCAGACCATAAGTAAGTCTTGGGAATCCTAGCTTACTGCTCAACTGATCCCCTGGACTTCTGAGTCTGTCAATGAATCAAGGGATGAGCTACATGGGAGGTGAGGAGGTGCAGCTTGAAAAGGGGTAACTAGGGGCAAGATAGGCTCATTGGGAGAACTTCACTGAAATTAAAGTTTCTAAAAAGTTTATTTCTAAAAGTATTACAACTATTTGGTTAGTATCAATTATTTGCTCCATATCAAAAGCACATATGACATTTTAAAATGTGTAACAATCCTGGGCCTGCCCGGTGTGACCTAAGAACCAGGAGATCAAGGTTCAATTCCCATCAGAGCACATGCCCAGGTTGTGGGCTCAATCCCCAGTAGGGGGCGTGCGGAGGCAGCCTATCAGTGATTCTCTCTCATCACTGATGTTCCTCTATCTCTCTCCCCCTCCTCCCTTCCTCTCTGAAATCAATAAAAATATTTTTTAAAGGTGTAACAATCCTAAGAAGATCATAAATGCCCCAGACTCCTCCTTTTTTAAAGGACTTAACAATTATTTTGAATTATAAAAATAACAGAAATGTGGGGAAAATTTGGAAGTGAGGCTATTAATAGTTAATATGGGAAGACTATATTTACCTATAATACTGTATATATTTAAGTACAAAAATCACTTTTAGGAAAAAAGCCCACATATTTCATTTTATGCTTTTTAAAAAATCCTCATCTGAGGATATGTTGACTGATTTTAGAGAAAGGAACTGAGAGAGAGAGAAAGAGAGAAACATCGATTGGCTGCACCCAACCAGGGACCAAACCTGCAATCTAGGTATGTGCCCTGACCAGGAATCACCGGCAACCTTTTTGGTGTACAGAACGACATTCCAGCCAACTGAGCCACCTGGCCAAGGCCATTTTATGCTTTTAAAAACTTTTTCAGACTATAGATTTATATCAGACTTAATTCTGGATGTGAAGTTTAGTCCCCTGTACTTACGAGTGAGTGGATCAATAAACAATGAATGGCCCTATCCAGTCTGGCTCAATGGATACAGCCTGCGGACTGAAGAGTCCCAGGTTCGATTCTGGTCAAGGGCACATGCCTGGGTTGTGGGCTGCATCCCCAGTAGAGGGCATGCAGGAGGCAGCCAATCAATGATTCTCTCTCATTATAGACATTTCAATCTCTCTTTCCCTCTCCCTCTCTCTGAAATCAATAAAAACATATTTAAAAAACAACAACAACAACAATAAATGACCTTGGCATTATTTAACTGACTATAGAAGGAACCGAAAATCACGACTAAAAAAACAACAACAAAACACACACACACACACACACACACACCACACACACACACACACACACACACACACACACGGAAAACTACAAGACATTGAAAAAAGAGATAGAGGAAGATATACGCAAGTGGAAGAATATGCCATGTTCATGGATTGGTAGAATCAACATCATTAAAATGTCCATATTACCCAAGACAATCTACAGATTCAAGGCAATCCCTATTAAAATACCAAGAGCATATTTCACAGAGCTAGAACAAATATTCCAAAAATTTATATACAATCAAAAAAGACCCCGAATAGCTGCAGCAATCTTAAGAAAGAAAAACAAAGTTGGAGGAATCACAATACCAGATTTCAAGTTATATTACAAAGCCACTTAACTCAAAACAGCCTGGTACTGGCATAAGAACAGATATATAGACCAATGGAACAGAACAGAGAACCCAGCAATTGACCTAAGTCATTATGCTCAATTTATATTTGACAAAGGAGTCAAGATAGTCTCTTCAATAAATGGTGTTGGGAAAATTGGACAGATATAAGCAAAAAAATGAAATTAGACCACCAACTTACACCATACACCAAAATAAACTTAAAATGGATAAAAGACTTAAATGTAAGACATGAAGCCATAAAAATCCTAGAAGAAACCACTGGCAGCAAAATCTCAGACATCTTGTAGCAATATGTTTACGGATACATCTCCTAGGACAATGGAAATTAAGGAGAAAATAAACAAATGGGACTACATCAAAATAAAGAGCCTCTGCACAACAAAAGAAACCATCAATAAAATAACAAGAGTGTTCACCCCATGGGAGAACATATTTGGGTTAACCTCCAAAATCCACAGGGAACTCATACAACTTAACAAAAGGAAGACAAACAATCCAATTAAAAAATGGGCAAAGGACCTAAATAGACACTTCTCCAAAACGGACATACAGAATGCCAAGAGACATATGAAAAAGTGCTCAAAGTCACTGATCATCTGAGAATTGCAAATCAAAATGACAATGAGGTACCACCTTATACCTGTTAAAATGGCTATCATCAACAAATCGACAAACGACAAGTGTTGGCGAGGATGTGGAGAAAAGGAAACCCTGTGCACTGCTGGTGGGAATGCAGACTGGTGCAGCCACTGTGGAGAACAGTATGGAATTTCCTCAAAAGATTAAAAATGGAACTCCCATTTGACCCACTGATCCCACTTCTAGGAATATATCCCAAGAAATCAGAAACACCAATCTGAAAGGATGCACCCCTATGTTCATAGCAGCACAATTCACCATAGCTAAGATCTGGAAACAGCCCAAGTGCCCATCAGCAGATGAGTGGATTAATAAACTGTGGTACATCTACACAATGGAATACTACGCAGCTGTAAAAAAGAAAGAACTCTTATTATTTATTTGCAACAGCATGGATGGAGAAAGATAAGTGTCACATGATCTCACTCATATGTGGAATCTAATGAACAACATAAACTGATGAACAAAAATAGACCCAGAGACATAGAAACATCAAACAGGCTCAATCCTCAGAGGGAAGGCAGGGGAGGGTGGAGGGGAAAAGAGATAAATCAATGAACTCATATGCGTATATGCATAACCTATAGACACAGACAATAGGGTGGTAAAGGCTTGAGGGAGAGGAGGGTGGAAGAGGGCAATGGAGGGAAAAAGGGACATATATAATACTTTCAACAATAAAGATTTATTAAAAAATACACACAATCTTTGACAGCTGCTAAAATATATAAAAACTAGGCACCCAGTGCACGAATTTGTGCACCTTGAAAGGAACTGTGGGCCGCGAGGCTGTGGTGGGCACAGGGGCGGGTCTTGGCCCATCCTCTACACCCCCGCCCAGCCCCTCCCGCCATGGCCCCCAGTCCCCTATCTGCTGGCAGCCCTGCTACCACCGCCACTGCTCCCACATGCTGAGGGCGCCGGCCCTGCTCACACCCGTTGACGGCGTGGAGCCATTGGGGCCAATGCCAGCAGCTGGTGCGAGCAGGGCCGGCACTGTCAGCAGGTGCGAGCAGCAGCTACTGCCCTGATCACCCCTCAGGAGCAGGGGGAGATGGAGAAGCCCTGAGGGGCGATCGAGGCTGGCAGCCACCACTTGCACCCACAGACGGCACGGAGTGATCTGGACCTGCATCAGGCACCAGCAGTGAGTAAGAGCAGGGCCGTTGCTGGCAGCAGGTGTGAGCAGGCCAGCACCGGCAGCAGGTGCAAGCACCAGGCAGGACCATGGTGTGGGGGAGCAAAGAATTTTCAGTAACCACCAAAGGCTTGCCCCGATGACAGTGACTGGTGCCCCGCCTTGGTCTGGTGCCCCCGCTCACCTGCTCCACCATCCCGCCATGGCTGATGTCTGCCATGTTCCCCATTGTGCCACCTGCTGCCAATGCCCGCCATGTTCTGTGCGCGCCCCCTGGTGGTCAGCGCACATCATACTGACCAGTTGGTTGGCCCGCCATTCGGTCTATTTGCATATTAGGGATTTATATATATAGATGCCATAATGTCCTTAACCATTGTCTCATCATCCAATTTGTAGCTGTTTCTGATTTTAACTACTATATAATTAATTTCATGATGCATGTAAATAGATGAGCCCGTTTCTGAGATTCCTAATCACTGTTAGGACATTTTTAAGGTCTTTAATGCCTATTGTCAAATAGATTTCCTTCCAGAAAGTGCACAAATTTACCCCTCAACCCCAACAGTGTACAGAGTACCCATCTCAGCAAACTCTCATCAGCTTTACCTATTATCAAGGCAACACATTTCAGACTAAACTTCTAAAAAACTTAAATCTAATATACAATTTATAAGAAATGCCTAAAGCAAAACAAATGAAAGCCTCAAGGGCACAGGCTGTGTGTTTGGTTTATTTAGGATTCTCGCCCCTGGCTCAGTTTTAGGCAAAGAAGATTTGCAACAAATGTTGGTTGAAAACATAAATGCAGACAGAGTTACCCTGGGACAAATGAAAAATGCAAATGCTGGGCCACTGACTGGGGGCTCAGAGCTTTCAGACGCTGGACCTGTCCAGCCCAAAGAAAGAAAAATATCAGAAACTAAACGTGGTAGATAATGAAAAGACAACACCCTATTTTAAAATGGGCAAAGGCTCTGAGTAGACAATTCTCCAAAGCAGATATACGAAGGGCCAATAAGCACATGGAAAGGTGCTCAACATCAGTGCCCATCAAGGAAATGCACATCAGAACCACAGTAAGAGGCCACTTCATACCAACCAGGGCGGCTGGGCTACAATCACAAAGACAGACAATAGCAAGTGTTGGGGAGGATGTGAAAATTTCTTAAACTCACACATTGCTGGTGGGATTGTAAAACGGTAGAGCCACTTTGAAAAAGTCTGATAGTTCCTCAAACGGTTAAACACAGAAAACATATGAAATCATATTGAGACAGGCCAGTAAGCCAGGACAAATGCAATAGGGAAACTGAGGCAGTTAGCTGAACAAACTCGCAAAGCAATTTACAGTAGATACAGGAGGTCACCTTCCTAGAAATAACATCTAGGCCTCAGCTGTATTCCAGCCTCCAGACCAAGAAAAGCAGCAAAACCAGGTGGGCGACACCAGGACCAGCCACGATGACTGACAACTCTCAGCCCTAACACTGACCAATCAGTAAAGACCAGGAACCTGGATGGGCACACCTAGAAGACTGATGAATATTCTGTGGAGACCCTCCCCTGAGACCTTCCCGCCTTTGAGATAAAGTCTCAAGACAAAGGACCCAGGGCGTGCTCTGGGTCTAGGGCAGTGGTCGCCAACCGGTGGTCCCCAGACCACTGGTGGTCCGTGAGGTCCGGAAGGGTTGGCAACCGCTGGTTTAAGGAAACCTTTGGAGCAGCGGGCCAACCGGTGGTCCGTGAGGTCCGGAAGGGTTGGCAACCGCTGGTCTAGGGAGCAGCCCCTGCCATTCCCTTCCCTTCTTCTTTCCCCCACGAGCATGCATCTCCTACACCCCAAAGGACCCACAAGACTTGCACCTGGGGAGCAACGGGCGGCAGCAGCTCAGTCGTCAAAGGCTAGTCCCCTGAACCTGTTCCCAAGGCGCCCTTTTCGCTGACTTCCCAGAGAGCTAAGGCAGCCCAGCCTCGGCTCTCCTGTTGCTTCTGCAATGCCGGGTCCTGTCTTGTTTTGCGACCCCAGCTTTAATAAATGTTCCCTCATAGTCATCCGGGCTCGTGTTGTGAAATTTTTCCTGCACCAAGAACCACCAAGGGCCAGGTCCCCTTTCTGGTAACAACATGTCCACACAAAGACTTGTACATAGATGTTCATAGCAGCATTCTTTATAATAGTCAAAGGTGAAAACAACCCAAAGTCCACCGATTGATAAATGTATAAACAAAATGTGGTTATCTCCATACAATGGAATATTCGGCAATGAAAGGAAATAAAGTACTGATACATGCATCAACATAAATAACTGAAAACACTGAGTGAACGAAGCCAGTCAAAAAAGTCTACGTATTATCTGATTGATATGAAATGTTCAGAATAGGCAATCTATAACGACAGAAAGTAGATTAGTGGCTACTCAGGGCTGGCGAGTAGAGGGGTTTGGAGGGTGCTGGCTTAGGGATGTAGGTTTCTTTTATTAGTAATGAAAATGTTCTAAGATTAGTCATGGTGATAGATACACTTTAAATGGGCAAATTGTATGGTGGGTAAATTATACCTCAATGAATCTGTTTTTAAAAACTTGGGGCCAACGTAATCTCGATGGAATTAATTTTCCCACGTCCTGCACGTGGGGCTCTGTGAGTCCGGTGGCGGATTCCTGAACTGTCCCGCCGTTTCCCTCTCCTATTCTCAGGCAGCAAGACCCAAGAGCAGGTAGTAGTTTGAATAAGCGCTCCCGTTCCTCGGCGCGTGAGGACTGCCTCCTGCCTTGGGAGGCCAGAGTACTTACAACTGCTCCTCCAGCGGCCAGGGGATCAGCTTGACAATGCAGTGTCCTTGCGACCAAGCAAACCAGGAGCCATCTGGAGAGAAGGCGACACTCCAGGTTTCACAGCTCGACTTCCAATCGAACTGGTGGGGGCGCCCGGGCTTGAGTTCGGCCAGCAGCAGCGGTTCCTCTGGGACAGGAGAGAGCATGCTTCAAACCAGCACTCTCACTTCCCTCCTCACCGCCCTGACTCAGACCCAGAAAGCCACTGTCTCACCATGGCACGGGTGGGATTCTGGGAGGGAACTGCCACTTAAGTGACCTGGGGCAGTACCAGTAGCCAAAGGCCACATTCCACCGTGGTTACTCAGCTCTGGCACTCCCCTCTGCTGGTTACCCATGACTCAGTAACCTTTGGAAGGGTAAACCCAGTGACCAGAGGCCTCATTTTCCTATGAATGCCTGAAGAGGAAGAAAGGAGAGGACCAGATCAGGACTAGCCCAGGCAAGACTGTTAGATGGTGCAGATTAGGAGGCTTTCAAATGTATTTAAATTCTCCTCAAAAGAGCCCGCTCCTGGGAGAAAAGAGTTATCTGAAACTCATGCCCTCCCTCCGCCCCCCACCCCCACCCCCATCATCAAGACTAAAATCAAATGTTCAGCACTTGCCCTGCTTCCTCTTGCTTAGACCAGAGTCAAGCCCGGAGTAGCTCATGCTCATTCACAGCTGGACTCCTTTTCTGCTTTGGAGAATCCCACCTAGATTAGCAACTGGGAAGCATACCCTGATCTCACACTATCAGAGTAGAAATACTTATTTCTCTGCTTATTTCATTCTCTCCTGTAATAGCCAATTTCCCTCTGCGCCTCCCCCGCCTGCAGAATGTAAGCATCTTTGTTCAGAAACAGCAAGACGATTTAATCTTTGGGTCTGTCGGGCCTAGGACAGCACCTTGTGAGGAGTTAAGTGCTGGGAAGGTGCTTCTCCATCGACAGGAAGGGCAGGCCCTGGTTTCATTTCCTCCTCCACTGGAAGGTCTCCATGGCTGGTGAAGCTCGTAAGTTAAAGGCCCTCGGAATTGATTTTCTGACCACGATGATGTGTAATGGTGACACATACTAATATAATAACTGGCTTCCCTCCTGCATGAGCTCACTTCCTGGTGTGTATGTTCCACTTTAACAGTTCCGAGACTTTGACCCTTTTATAGCCGTTACCAGATAGAAACTAACTTAAGCACCCCATAGTTCATATATCCTAGAACACATCTTGATGTCTTCTCACATTTTGACCTCCATGAAATCAGGTTATGTCTCACAAGTGATGACGTTTCATGGTTACACAGGCAGTGTTTTTTTTCTCAGTGATACATAGGCCAATATGATCCATATCTTGGATTCAATGAAACAGATGGTAAAGATGCACATATAAGTGCATATAATCATATCAAGCCTTTGGTGGCTTTGCCATTTAAGGAAGTTTCCTTTATATTCATTCCCTGAGGTTCTGTATGTAAATCTAGGTTTTAAAATATTAAGTCTACACTGGTGTTTGTATAGACCCCGGTAATTCCTCCTAGAAATTTGTGTTTGTACACGTGATCCTTTCATTTATATCATTATTTTTCTGTAGAAGCATATTCCTCTGGATGCGAATGTTTACATGACAAGAATATTTTACTGTATATTTTAAATCCAAAACAGATCTCTTAAAGTTATGCAGCAATCCTGCAACAGCTCCTTCCAGATATTTCCATATAGTGACACAGCCCTAATCTGTTAATGCCTTCTCCTTGTAGCCCAGTGGTTCTCAACGGGGGTAATTTTGCCCCCTGGGCACACGTGGCATGTCTGGAGACACTTTTGTTGTCATAACTGGGGGTGGTGCTACTGCTATGTAAGGGGTGGAGGCCGTGGGTGCTGCTAAGCATCCTACAATCCAGAAGTCAGCCCCCACATGAAGCATTTTCTGGCCCAAAATGTCAGTAGTGCCGAGGCTGAGACCCCGTATGTGCACAATACTAAATGACACGGACAATGACAAATTTCATGACTCCATCCGGACTATATTTACACATGGTTCACTTCCTCCCCATGCACACTAGCCATCCTCTGGAACACCACGGAGGCTCTACATAATATGAAAAGGGGTCATCCTTGACTTTTCTCTTTTCTTCACCTCCCAATCCAAATCCACTAGCACAGTGGTTCTGAACCTTCTGGCCCTTTAAATACAGTTCCTCATGTTGTGACCCAACCATAAAATTATTTTCGTTGCTACTTCATAACTGTAATGTTGCTACTGTTATGAATCGTCATGTAAATATCTGATATGCAGGATGGTCTTAGGCGACCCCTGTGAAAAGGTCGTTCGACCTCCAAAGGGGTTGCGACCCACAGGTTGAGAACCGCTGCTTAGCAAGTTCTATCAAATCTTTTTCCAAGAGACTTGCCAAACCTAACTTCCCTTCATCTCCATGGCTACTATTCTAATCTATGCAACATCATCCTCTCTCTCTAAGCAGCCTTCCAACTGCTCTCCTAGCTCCCGCTCTGGCCCCTACCATCCATTCTCCTCACCTTCCAAAGTAATCCGCTTCAATCACTCTTAGACTAAAATACAAACTCCTCACCCTGCCCTCAGAGTCCTGCAGAAACTGGCCCCTGCCTTGTCTCTCACCTGGGCTTCTATTGCTCTTCTTGCTCCTGGCTCTAGCATACTAACTAGCCTTCTCTCACCCTTCACTGTGCTCCATTAGTTCCAACCCCAGGGCCTTTGCACCAGCTATTCTCATCCCCAGGAATGCCTCTGGGGCTGGTGCCTTCTCTTCATTCAGGTCTCAGCTTAAATGGTAGCTCCTCAGAGAGCCCTTCTCTGACCCCCAAGTCAATCTCTTTCACAACTTCAACTTCTCACTTTTCTTTCTTTTTTTAAAAAATATATTTTATTGATTTTTTACAGAGAGGAAGGGAGAGGGATAGAGAGTTAGAAACATCAATGAGAGAGAAACATCGATCAGCTGCCTCCTGCACACTCCCTACTGGGGATGTGCCTGCAACCAAGGTACATGCCCTTGACCGGAATCGAACCTGGGACCCTTGAGTCCACAGGATGACGCTCTATCCACTGAGCCAAACCCATTAGGACTCACTTTTCTTTTTTTTAGAAACATCAATGATGAGAGAGAATCATTGATCGGCTGCCTCTTGCACGCCCCCTACTGGGGGTCGAGCCCACAACCCGGGCATGTGCCCTTGACCGGAATCGAACCTGGGGCCCTTGTCCACAGGCCGATGCTCTATCCACTGAGCCAAACTGGCTAGGGCTTCTCACTTTTCTTTACAGCACAATCACTAATTTGATTATTAACTATCTTCCCCAACTAGGACATCAACTCCACGGGAGCAAGGACCTTGTATGTTTACCCCCAGTTCCTAGCAGAGTTCCTGGCAGAGAACAGGCAGTTAGTAAATATTTGTTGAATAAATATACATGATATACCTTCCTTATATATAAATAAAATGAAGCCCCTTAAACTATTATGATGCCTGTGCCAAACATTTCACATGAAATGCTTCTTAAACATGAGCTATTCCCAGATTTCACACTCTAATTCTGTGATTTGGGGATTTAACCTCTTGCTATTTCAGGCTCAGGAATCCAGGAGCTAAAAGAAGAAAGAACCCAGTGACTCCTCTCCCTTCTTCATTTCTAGAACGAAGGAAATTCTGAAGGGAGAGTCTGGGCCCCAACTAAAATTGGCTGCTGGGAAAGAAAGCTGCAATTAGTACAGAGCTTACACAACCAGAGCCACGGGGATCCAGCTTCATCTGGGACGGCACCTGCCATGGCCCTCCTTGGTGAAAAAGATCAGGGTTTTCTAATTAAACACTGGGATGTGTGTGGACACACAGGCTGGATGGAAAGATATTCATGATGGGCCTTGTCTGTGAAAGGAGATTCGCCTTAACATGGAGATGAAAGCTATGACTCCAGGCAGCAGAAAGCAAGGTGATTGGTCCTGCCTCAGGATCATTACATTATCAGCGGTTCTCAACCTGTGGGTCGCGACCCCTTTGGCGGTCGAACAACCCTTTCACAGGGGTCACCTAAGACCATCCTGCATATGAGATATTTACATTACGATTCATAACAGTAGCAATATTACAGTTATGAAGTAGCAACGAAAATAATTTTATGGTTGGGTCACAACATGAGGAACTGTATTTAAAGGGCCAGAAGGTCGAGAACCACTGCATTAGATGGTCCATCGGCCTGGGAAACGCTGCCTGGCGGGCCCCAGATCTTTGCCTGGCTGTTCCATCTCACCCTTCAGGGCTGGTGCTGATGTCGCCTTCTCAGAAGCCTTCCTGGCCTCACAATCTAAAGTGGCCCAGTTAGGCTGGCTGGTGTGACTCAGTGGTTGAGTATCGACCTATGGACCAGGAGGTCTTGGTTCAATTCCCTGTCAGGGCACATGTCTGAGATGCGGGCTCGATCCCCAGTGTGGGGTGCGCAGGAGGCCGCTGATCAATGATTCTCATCATTGATGTTTCTATCTCTCTCTCTCCCCCCTCCCTTCCTCTCCAAAATCAATAAAAATATATTTTAAAAAAATAAACAAGTAAAATGGCCCAGTCACTTTCCTCTCACTCCATTAAATTTTCTTTATAACTATCGCTCATCTATCTTTTCTTGATGGCACTTGTCATTTTTATGTATTTATTGTCCATCTCTTCCCCACCCCCAGCCCAAACTTATCTGTTCATGGCTATTGGGCTGTGCTGTCCAAGACAGTAACCACTAGCCACACGTGGCTACTAACCAATGAAAATGTGGTGAGTCCAAATTAAGATTATGTATATAATATACATCTCATCTTGAAGACTTAATACCAAAAAAAAAGTCTAAAATATATTAGTAATCATGATTACATATCGAAATGATGTTTTAGACATGTTGGACTGACAAAGATATAGTTTTAAAATTAATTTCACCTGTTTCACTTTTTGTATGCAGCTACCGGAACATTTTAAATTACGTATGTGGCTCACGTTTCATTTCTACTGGCCAGTGCTAGCACACAGCAGGTACTCCACAAATACTTGTTGAATGAATAAATGAACTCCAACCACTACTCTGAAGATACCCACTCTTGTCCATTGTAACCCCATGACAATAGGCTTGATTCAGTTTAAAAGAATGTAAAACACTCAGGCTTTTTTTTTTTTTTTAACAGTAGCTTGGCAGCTCTCAACAGCTCTGCCCACACCCGGAAACACAGTGGTCCATCACTAGGAAAAAACCCAGAACTGGAAACAGATTCGTGCTAAAAAGAGAGGCTCGCTACAGATCACTTTCAGATTTAACGATTAAGGGGTCAATGAAAATGACAGCGGAAGCTATAAAAAGACTCACAGACGATTCGGGCGAACAG